CTGATAAGAGAATTGTATTACGAGTATACAGACCCACGTCAGAGATAGCACAGCTTCTTCCCAGACTTACTGCCATAATGTGATATGATGCAAGGTCGACACAAACCTTCAATTTGTAGAAAATGTAATGTCTGAGAAGCACAAGGTAGTGAAACACAATAAAAGAGGTTGTTGTTGTTGTTATGTGCCATCGAGTCCTTTGTGACTCATAGCGACCCTATGTACAACAGCCCTAAACCCCGCTCTATCCTGTGCCAATCGCACTGCCTCTGACACACCCATCCCGATTACCCCAGTCACTGAATCAATCCACCTCATAGAGGGTCTTCCCCTCCTGCGCTGTCCCTCCACCCTCCCAAGCATGATGTCCCTCTCCAAGGACCTGTCCCTCCTTGCAACATGCCCAAAGTATGTCAGATGAAGCCCCAGAATCCTTGCCTCCAAGGAGTTGCTTGGTTTAACCCTTTACAGGATGAATCTGTTTGTTTTCTTGGCAGTCCAGGGTACATTCAATACTCTTCTCCAGCACCACAGCTCAAAGGCATCAATTCTCCTTCTGTCCTCCCTAGTCATTGTCCAACTCTCTGATAAAAGAGGTAGGACTGGATACAAAACTGTCAAAACTCAGTAGCAAAAAGAGAGACCACTCTATTGTTGTTAGTGCTGTGGAAGCAGCTCTGACTCACAGTGACCCCGTGTGTAATAACAGAGTAAGTACCTCGCTTGGTCCTGTATCATCCTCAGTCTCCGCTGTACATACACCCATTGGAGCAACCTCTGTGCTGATCCACCTCATTGACAGTCTTTTTCTTCTCTGACCACCTTGAGGTCCTCTGTCCAGGAATTTCCCATCTACCAAACATGCCCAGATTATTTGAGATGAAGACTTGCTATCCTTGCCTCTATGAAGCTCCTTGAATTGTACTACTTCTAAGGCAGGTGTGTTTGATTTTTTGACACTCCGTGAGCTCTTGGTACTTCTTCACCAACAACACAATTCAAAGACCTTCCCTCAGACTTCCTTATTATTGTCCTACTTGCATATGCATATGAAAGAATTGAGGAAGCCATGGCTTGGGTCAAACACACCTTGAACTGATACGGCTGTTCATTAGGACTTTTTTTAATCCTTCTGTCGTCTTTTTTTATTGTCCGGCTCTCAGTAGAATAGCAAGTGATTGACAATATCATGGCCTGAATCAGATGGACCTTAGTCCTCAAAGTAACATCATTGCATCATTATTTTTCAATAATTTGGAGAGAACCTTGATTACAGACTTTCCTAGTGCAATACTTTTTTTTTTCTTTCTTTCTCTCTCTTTTTTTTTTAAATTTCCATTCATTCATTGTTGCACTTTTCTCCCCTCCCTCATTAGCACTTTTAAGGAGGCCCTTGACAGCAAACCTGTCCAATGCAATTCATCTTTTTATTCTTTTTTTTTAGAGTCTACATAACACATACATTACTTGTGTTTCCTATAGATATGGCTGATCATATCTTTTTAATTTTTATTTTATAATTGAGATTTTAGTGAAAGATTTTCGAGAACTTGGATTTCCATTCATTCATTGTTGTACATTTTCCTCCCTGTCCACTTCTCCCACCCTCTCTTTGTTTTATTTTTTTAAATTGTGATTTGAGTAAAGCCTATTATTTTGGGGGTTGTTTTCCAATCAGTCTTCTCTGGATATTTTGATCTGTAACATTAGTTATAACACTTACAGTGCCTGATCATCTAGTCATTCTACATTGTCTTTCCCTTCTAATAAGTGTTCATTGTTTATCAGTTCATTTTCATCATTTGATTTCTTGACTGTTTCCATGGGTGTTGATTGTGGATTCAAGCAAAATGAAATCACTGACAATCTAAAATACACACACACACACACACACACA